TGCATTATAATTTTAAAGAGGAGTACTGTCCATGAGGAAAGTGAGCTTTTTAAATATGTATTATTACACACCTTGTTGGAGGTGACTTCCAGCTGTTATTTGTTTTTTTATTAATTTTACACATGGGCTGAAAATTGGAGCGCCACGTATGTTATCTGATAAATGTGTTCCAGATATTTTCTAATGTGTTAAATAGAATGAGAATAGAATGAGAAAAAATGTACTATATCCAAATGCACGATACCTTAATTTTTTTATTTTTACCTGTATATGAATTGTCTGAATGAGTGTCAAACATTTGGAAAATTAAGATGTCGTATAATGTAATATTACTGCCCTCTACAGATACTCTCATCAGAACACTTTGCTAGGAATGCTTTTGGATAAAGAAGATATAGGTCAGAAGTCGGCAATCAACATGCAAAGAAGAGCCATTCTTTTACAATTCGGTAAAAAATATTGAAAGAGCTGCAATGCATGTGAATAACGTCACAAAGTAGTCCTCAAAGAGCCCAATGCGGCTCTAGAGCCGCAGTTTGCTGACCTCTGATATAGGTAATCATTACTGACATTGATGAGCCATTGCAGTCCTCTATGGGTGGGAGGGGGTTCATGTATAGACTTGCACGTGTTTTCATAATAGCCAACCAGGGTGTGTAAATTACAAAGGAGCCACATAAACGTTCCACGCAGGCATTATATTCTCTGGAAGATATTATATTGTACACATCGCTTACTGCAACCTCAAACATCATGGCCAATTTGTATTGTCTCAACTGCTGCGTGAAGGTTTCCAAAAGATGTCCTCTCAGATGCGTTACATCCCTTGGCTGCCACTCCATCCTTATTCTTGATATGGGCCATCATCCCTTCTATAGAAACGTGTCCTGTTATTTGAAATCAACTTAACTTATTCCCAATCATTTAAATTACGCGATCACTGCCATGTCACGATACAATCCGTCGCCGACCGTGGAGGTTATGTTCCTGAAAGCCGCCGTGGTTGGCAATACTAAGGCCTTATGGGAAATAGGGGTTTAGGGCAACCGCGGTTGCGTTCACACTCGTCAAAGCTTAAGTTGGCTTCATCTTTTTTGGTTCTTTCGGTAAAGTCACGCAGAATGAGAATAAAATAATAAATTAATAATCTAAAATAACACAATAAAATTATCACGACGTTTCGGCCACAACACAAGTGGCCTTCATCAGGTGAAGGGACGAGACTGTCTGGAGGACAGCGCTGGAGCGAACACAGCCAAGCTCAGACCGCGACCTTTAAACTGTGTGAGAAGAAACAGAGCGCCTTGACAAAGGAATTAGCATAAAAAATAGCATTTAATTAGCATGATGAACGGTGTAGAGGGGGTGAACATGTGCAGACCGGCGAGGGGGGGAGGGGGAGTTTACATATTGATGGTGTGAAAAGGGAATTTAAGCTGCTGCGAAAGTTTGGGATACCACTACTTGAAAAAATATACTGTACCATTGAAAATTAGTTTAATGTTTGGTTCGGATAATTTAGCATTGAAATAGCTGCGTGATTAGCTTGTGACTGGTCACAGAAATGGCTATATTAAAGTCAAAGCCTACACATCCACAGAGGCACCTAGTACAAATCAAACAGGAGAATTTAGCATTTAAATAACTGAGTGATTAGCTTGTGACTGGTCATAGAAATAGCTATGTGAAAGTCAAAGCCTACACATCCACAGAGGCACCTAGTACAAATCAAACAGGATAATTTAGCATTGAAATAGCCGAAACGTCGTGAGAATTTTATTGTGTTATTAAATTTTATTAATTTATTATTTTATTCTCACTCCACGTGACTTTACCGAAAGAACCAAAAAAGATGAATCATTGCAGTCACGAAAGCTTTAAATCGAAACCTAAGTTGGCTATTCTTTGGTTCTTTCCGTAAAATCATGTAAATGTAAATATAATAATAAAAATAAAGTGAATAAAAACATGTAGATGCTAGCCTGGTTCTTAATCAGAGTGAGTACTGGCAATCTCTAACGTGGACTGTAGCCTGGTTATTGAGTTTGGTGAGTGTACTGGCAGTCTATAATGTAGGCTATAGCAATGGTTTTTAAGCTGGTGAGCGTATTGGCAATCTATAATGTAGACAGTAGCAATGGTTATTAAACTGAGTGAGCGTACTGGCAGTCTATAATGCAGACTGTAGCCTGGTTCTTAACCTGAGTGAGTGCGCTGCCAGTAAATAATGTAGACTTATTCCGGTTCTTTCAGTAATTAAAATAAAATAAAAATAAGAATAAAACTTAAAACAAAAACCAGACGTTTCAATCGCAACACAAGCGGTCGTCTTCAGGAAAAGGGGGGTTAGCCTCTAAAAGCAAAATGATTATAAAGGTTTAGAGATGGGCATAGCCAAAGTGTGTCAACAGCATGGGCGGGGCAGCTAATGTTAATGTAGGAGAAAACCCCGACACTGGCAGTAGGTCTACACTAATCAAAGGGCTGCCAGGCAATCATTGCACCTAGCTCCACACACCCACACTGCTGACGGTGGAGGTTGACAAGAAAACACAAATCAAGTCACAACCCAAAGTGGTTGATGACATCTTTCCAATGATTGCTGAGCTTATAACGATCTTCTCGGTTGCAATTGTGTCTGTATATATGACTTCATGAAATATTCTTTGTTGGTAGCCAGTAGGCTTGCAGAGTACCATCGTCTAAGAGAAATACATTTCGTGTGAGCCAGCCGCATTAAAATAATGATCAGCCACGGCAGAAGTATTGGTCCTACCGTGTTTCAAATCTGTCTTATGCTCACGAACACGGTCCGAGACATGTCGCTTAGTTTCCCCAATGTAACTGCTGCCACAGATACAGCTTAGTTTGTAGACGCTGGGATATTGCATATCAGGAATCTTGTCATTCACAGATGGGATAAGATCACGAATATTATGTACTGTGTTAAATCGGACCTGGATCTTGTGTTTGTTCATGATTTTAGAAATATTTTTGGTTACCCCTGCTATGTATGGCAAGGTGATGGTTTTGATTGGATCCTCAGATGGCTTTGCGGATTGTGTAGTCAGAGTATCCATTCGCCTTGAGAGCTTGGTCTATGGGTTTGACATAACTGATTAGGTGTTCATGGTCGGAGATACATTGAGCTCTATGGTATAGCGTTTTGATGAGGGAATTCTTCTGGGATGGATGGTGGTGGGAATCAGGTTTTAGGTAGGTGTCAGTATGGGTTACTTTCCTGTAGACAGAATGGCTCATTGAGCCATCAGGTCTTTTTGATTAGGACATATGTTCATTAACTTAACACGAATACAATGCACAATAACATAATACAAAAACAATAAATGTTCAAAGAACAATAAAAATCAGTGAAATTATGTTATTTACCTTTAATACTGAGGGTTGACGTCCATGGCGATGATGACGATGACGTTGATGAGGTAATGGGGGATGTAGTTGTTCGAAGTGTTGTGAACTGTGCCCACGTCTGTCTGGAGATGGCTGGGGGTTGGGTGCTTCGTGTGGGATTGGAGAGGCGAGCCGGTTTGTTGGGTATGCGGACGCACACCGAGGATGATTGCTTGGGCGGTGTTGCGACTTCTCAGGGAGTGAGGTAATTGGGGAATAGCTGGATTTAATGATGGAATAATGATCAATTAAGGGAGAGCTCTGCGCCTATATAAAGGGGGCCTCGCCAGATAGCGAAACGCTCAGGGGGTGTTGGGTGTGGCTGGGTAGTTCGCTGCTATGTTTAAGCTGTTTTTAGGATAAATATTTTTTACATAATTTTTAATAAAGAATACCTGATGGATATCAAACCTGCTGTGGCCGTACCAGTGAACTCTTGAGGCCCACCACCTCGTAACAGAAGCAAGAGGGGCATTGCCAACCCTATTGGTTGCATGCTTAGGGGCCATGATTAAAGGAAAAAAGAATGCAAATAAACAATGGAATACTTGATTTGAAGCTTTCGAGACTGCAGGATTTACTCTTTGGTTCTTTCGGTAAAGTAATGTAGAAAGAAAATAAATTAAATAATAGAATACGACGTTTCGATTGCAACAAGCAGTCGTCATCAGGTAGAACTAAATTTGAGAGAGACAAAACAGACACGGAGACACAGACACACACACAAGCAGAGAGAGACAACACAGACACACAGAGAGACACATAGACCCAATGCCTCTGTGTCGTCGCCTTCAATAGAGAGAGTGGGGGGGGGCAGAGAGAGAGGTGGGTCTGCTGGAGCAGATAAATTAGCATGTAAATGAGAGTTGTGTGGAAATCTACCCCGCGGCAGCAGGGGGAGAGAAAGACCCAGCATTGCATTACATTTCCAAAAATTTGCTACGTTTTCTCAAACTGCCTAATTCTCTCTAAAATGTACCAGGCTCTCATAGGTCCATTCGCTTTTTCTCTCCCCCTGCCGCCGCGGGGTGGATTTCCACTCGGCTCTCTCATTGACATGCTAATTTATCTGCTCCAGCAGACCCACCTCTCTCTGTCTCTCTGCCCCTCTTCTCTCTATTTAAGGCTAAGACACAGAGGCATTGGGTCTCTGTGTCTATGTTGTGTCTCTCTCTGTCTCTCTCTGCTTGTGTCTGTGTGTCTCCGTGTCTGTGTTTTGTCTCTCTCTCAAATTTAGTTCTACCTGATGACTGCTTGTGTTGCGATCGAAACGTCGTATTCTATTATTTAATTTATTTTCTTTCTACGTGACTTTACCGAACTAACCAAAGAGAAACAATGGAAGGTTGAACGCAGAATTATGCGTAGCAATAGACAACGTCCACACACTACAACAGTCACTATGCGGAAGGGAATGGTGGTGGGATATGAGATGATGCATGGAGGGAACACATGCGGGTGATTTGAAATTAAGTTTGCTGGTCCCCGTACTAAACCGCAGATGCACAAAACCATATATCGCAGTTAGCAAGTCGGTGTCCTGAAGGGAAAACGTGAATACATAAATACCGTGGATGCAAAAAACGCGGTTGGTGGGGGATTTTTGTATTTGGCATTTTGACAGCTATATTTACACCATACTGTGTTAGAGGTGATATCATAGATCTACAGTACACCATTTCTGAATGCACTTGCACCTTTGATAAACGCAAAACGTTTGTAGGGCATATACATGAAATCAATATTTGTTTTTACATTATCAGAGCTGGCATAAGCCAAATTAAGCAGAACCACATTTAATATGCAGTAATTGTTGACCAGCCTCACCATAAACTTGCAACAAATGAACCCCTATTTTAATCACAGATGGCTGCCTGTACTGGATTCTGACGGGGGTTTTAGCTACCCAGACACCTGAAGAAATGTGCTTGGTGTGGTCGAAAAGGGAAGTACACACCCTGCATTCTGAATAACGCATCTCTAAATAATTAATGCTGCCCTTTAGAAGGCAGTGCAATACTAATTAACCCAGCATTTCGGCCCTTAGGAGGCAAACGTTCCTTATCCTTCTTCACTATGCCCTTTAAAAGTTAAGCATCTTACCTTGGAGCATAGCCTGTCTAGAAAAAAAATCTTCCAATATCACTAAATTGTGCAAATTTGGTTAAACACAAGCAGATGTGAACAAATGCATATATCTGCACAGAAATTATTTTCTGCAAAAAAATACGAAATCTAAATAATTCAATGAGGCTTGTCAAATTTTAAAGCAAAAATAAAGTAGTCACATTTTCCATGATATTGGATTACATCAACATTGCACAATTATTTTTTTTCATTTAACTTTTTCATATTGCAGAACTGTACGTCGGCATTATGGCTCGGCCCCCACTCGGCGTTGCGTCGGGTGCAAGGAACGGGTTGCCTGGCAGTGTATCGTGAGGGCCACTATGCCCGGTCGAGGCCTGGAAACGAATTGATTGCATTGAAACAAAATTGATTAACTAATTTTTGTCAGCAATTCCTGAGTGTAATAAACTAGGGCTTAGTTTCAACAAATGTGCTTAAACAACCGAACTGGCCTCAGTCATTTCCAGAATGTGTGGCTGAATCAAAGTATTACAGTACACCACATTTTAACACAGTAAGAACACATTCCATAAAATGGTTTGCAGTTTTACACAATGAGGCCTACTCACACATATTGGTAAATGCTTTTATAAAGTTACAATTATATTCCATACTTGCAAGCACAATTTATTTTAGCCATTGTGGATTTTCATATTTTACGGCAATAAAAACGTGTTTTCAATTTGCTAAAATGTCATTGCAGTCAACACGCACAATTATATTTCACTGCAGTATTTTCTTGAGATTATGAGCAACAAGTATGCCAGCTTGAATGCTAAGTGTTGTTTTATTGGCTAACAGCATATATTCAACTGAATAATACACGTGAGAAGGTCTCTATCTGGGTTAGTGTTTGCTTTCATGGTTATATTGTGATATAGTGTAAGAATGACATCTAATTAAATTTTGGTTATATATGCAGTTTGGCAGTGAATATAACAAAAACTTGGAAAAGGGCCAATGTTTACGTGGCATAAAGATCGAGAAGATTTTGCATGGAAAGTTTGTAAATTGTCATGATAAAACGTTATTAAAGCCTCAATTGCTTTAACATATTGGTCATATGATTTGCAAGCTGTTATGTAGTTTAACTTAAATGTTTTACTTCTATTTTGACATTTAATATTTACTGAACTTACTACAATTGTTTAAAAGCAAAGATGGTTGACTGTACAACAATGTCTCGGACATCCACATTGGTGTGCTGTAAATTTTGGGACATATGCAAAATAAATCATTAAATGTGACAAAAAAGATTTAATAGAAAAATATTCCAATTTCAAGAAAAGTGTTTTATACTCTTGAGCAATTTACAATATGTTTGTGTAATATTGCTGCTTCAGCATCTGCAGTAAAAACACATTTTTACTTGAAAATATTCCTCAAGAGGCTTACTCTAAAAACCCCTGGTCAAATATTTTCTCATTCTGTTCAGCAATATATGAAAACCATGTTAGAGACATACAAACACGAGCATACACAACTTATTTATATAGTATGTTACATTATTCACACGCAGAACAATTTTATGATTTTTTTATTTTCATATTTTTTTTGGCTTTTTAAATTTAAAATAAAGTAACAATAAATTAGATTTGAGCCCATGACCTCTGCGGATACAAGTCCTGAATTAATCTCGCTCACCACACGGTCTTAAGATGCTGTATCAGTGTCAAAGCTATCCTGTGTGGAAAATTCAAAAGCCATCACCACATGCACACACATGAAGGCATATAGATCAAACAAACACACGTGTGTACACCTTTGTTTTGATAAATGAACATGTCCAAGAAAACACCTGCCTCCTCCACTCACACCCTCACACGCACACTTAAAAAAATCACACTTTAATTTGGTGTCAATTCACATGGTTTCAAATAAAGGTAGCTCAAATTGTACCACTGTAACAAAAAAAAACTCTTAATTGGTCCGTTGTTTTGTTACCTTGTTTTTTACGCATGAACAATAACACACACGTCACTGACGCTGTCTCAATGCACTCCATCTTTGCTCATTGGTTAATGAGTGATGAGTGGGAGGGTTCGTGGTAGATACTCACTGCAGAGGGCTAATATGGATGGACACGGCTGCTGGAGAGTTGAAACGTGACATCCATTGCAATCAACATCGACCAAGGGTGGCATGCCTGCAGGGAATGTCAACCTGTCTCTGAAGTAGATTAAACGAGTAGAACTACGACTTTGGCACAGTACATTTTTCGCAAAAGTGATGGCTAAAGTGTGGGAAAAAAATAAAAAAAGGTCACTGATAGGGTGGGGGCACTGAACACCTTAATTTTTTCTGACGAAAATATATTTTAAAAGCATATGTTCATAGTAAAAACAAAATTCAACCGAGTGACATCCCTAGCTTCTACCCATTCCTGTCATACAATGGTAATACAGAGTGGTGTATTGCACCCTTGAAAGGATATAGAGGAAAGCGCCTGATCTAATGTATTGTATTTCTACAGCTATTTCCAACACGACAGGTGGACAGGCCTTTCTTTCTCTATCTCGGTAACAGATGGGGGTTTCATTTCATTTGAGCCAGACTTGTAAAGTCAAGGTCAGCAAGTGACATATCACGTAAAAGAGTTATTTAACAGAAAAAGAAACACTTCAAAAGAGTGAATTTGTACAGCACTCACCCTGACTCGGCACCTACTCAAATGGAGTTCAGATTTAAAGACATGTGAGGATGGACATGTGAAAGATGGACATATGACACGGCTTCCTTTTTCCCATGACTGAAACTATATGTGGAGCGGTGGCACTGTTACAAGCTCACTCTGCTACAAAACCAGCATCCAGCATTTGATTGCTGGCCACGGCTAACATCAGTGGTGAGTGATATCTGAACTGGTCCTGCCCCCACTTCAACCCACAACCAAGATGGTGAAGTATGGTCAAACAACTCCCAATCGTGATGCAGTGTGGGCGGGAGGGGGGCTTTGTTCAAGCGGCAAAGCCTCTACAGCTGGGTCATGTCACTGCTTCCCCTTGGGTCATGTTACACCGTGATACCGCTGGTCCATGAATATTTGTCACAGTGTAGGGTACTGCCGGAGCAAGTGTTGCAGATAAGTTTTGTTCTGTGGCGTTATGCGTAATGTATAAAATATTTCCATACACAGCGCAGCCTTGCAGCTGTGCCATTCTTATGGTGGCCACCTGTTTTTCTCTTAATGTTTTAAAACTTGTGCCAGCCAATAACAATAAACAGATTTCACAAAAATACAGTTTTAGAATTATAAAGCTGGCTGCTTTCATAGTTAAAGTATTCCCAGAATTTAAGTGTGTGCATTTAAAACATATCTATTTTTAAACGGTTATTCTGTGCAAAACCCTTGTTTCAACACGGAGCGCTACAGACCTCTGTTTCGATTGTTTCTTGCTGCATGGGGTCTTCTTCCCCAAGCCAGAATGGACCCGCATTCCCCTATGTTGGTCAGCAGTTAATAAAGGTTTCTATGCAATACGACCCAGGCACCTGCTGAGCCACGCAACCATTAATTGGTCCCTTTTTCCTACTCTGCGCACTAAACATACTACACATCGGCGACTACAATAATTAAGCAGACCCTGCATATAAATGAATACTCATTGATTGTTTCACAAAAAATAGGAAAAAAACACAATTGAAATCTGAGTGAGAATTTGCAGGATGTGTGAGGCTGCAGTTGAAAGGGTTTGTTGGGGGATGTTGGTGGCGATTGATAAAAAGCCAGTTCTTGCTCTCTGACTGAGTGTTGTCGATGTGTGATGATGTGCCATCCAGCAAACAGATGGGTGGAACACAAACACCACGCTTGAATTTAAGGAAAATAAAAAAAGTGCATTGCGTCGTACGTAAAAAGTTACAGAAATTCTCGAAAAATCGAGAACCTCTAACCCAAGCACTCGCAATTAGATGGTCACACGTTTTCTCTCTATATAGTAAACATTTTTACATGTTTATTTATATATGTGTTGATATGGTTTTATGTTCATCTTTCCCCATCCCTTTCAGCAGTCATGCAGTGACCATAATCGTCTTGGCGACTCCAATAACGTGACAGATGCGGCCGACTCCATGACCAACACACTACTCTAGAATAGCAGATAATATCCATTCAGTATAAAATAACGATTTTTTTCAGTTAAAATTAAATTTAGCTTCAGTCCGCTGGCATCATTATGAAACTGAAAATGCAATTCGTCTTCCGTTACTGGGGCTTGATAAATGAGTGCTCGGAGTATACGGGATGGCAAACTGGTGCCCACAGCAGCCATTCACTGAAGTGGGGAAACAACTACACAGGGACCTGGTAAATAATACATGTAAATAAAAATACATATGGATTTGAATCAGCACTTCAAAATAGATTGTTTCTGTACATGCAAGCCTCATTATAAAATACTTTAGGGAGGGAAATACAAGTGAGCACAGCACATTGCTCAGGGACGGCGTGTCCTTGGTAGTTTTCCTTCTGCCACTCAGTTCTCCGACGGCGTCACTGTTTTCTTGAAAAAAGGGAGAGAAAAAGAAGCAGCATTCCTCCTCAAATGCTTTTCTCCGCCTCCTGCTGCTATCGGGCGACATTGTCAAGACCACAGGGCGGGTCACAAAGTGGAGCATTGTCCCTGGACACATGGGCCGGATCGTTGAGCTGTGTGTTGCAGTGGAGCGCCGCAAACTTCAGCGTTGCTCACCGGCTACAGGTCAGCATCGCCATCAAAGGGCAGTGGCAGGGGCTTCCTCTTGGGCACTCGCCGCCTGGGTCTCTTTGATCTCCTCCTGAAAACAACAAACTTAATGGTGCTGTCCCGGTCACTCAACTTTTGCTCTCAAACAAAATTTAACGATATGTACACAGGCAGAATCATAATTACTGCCAACCTGAGAATGAAGGTCGTAGGTTTATGGTGATTATCCTTATTCCACAAAAAAACACAGTTACAATTACAAACCATTTTCTTTCTAATTTCCTAGTCGTGAGTTGGAGATTACATTTTAAAGAAATATGATCTGATTGAGTGCTCCATCTTTTATCTTTCAAACAAAAAATCAAAGCCAATCTAGTTTTATGTCACTATCCTTACTATATATATGCTAATTTAGGAAATTACTGGGTTATTCTGCTAGTTTCTCATTACAAAGAAATCACATTTTTCTTCATAATTAACTGATTTAATGCTCTTATCATTTAACTCCTAGTGCTCTAACTGTGTGAAAGTCACGTGTAAAAGTATTCGCTAAATTATATATTTAACTCCTAATACAGAAATCAAAACCAATTTTCATCAAAGATAAGGTAACATTCATCAAGATATTTTGAACACCAACGATGATGGTTGAGTATTTAGTGTACAAATAAAACGTGTGAGCATCGCAGGTAACGTTACCAAAAGAGGTAAGCTGTGAAGAGGAGGAACCCGATGATGAGGAGAGAAGCCACCGCCACTCCGTATACCCATCCTCGCAGCTTGCCATCTGAGGTCACGTGTTGTGGCACACAAGGATGCCTAACTTAAAATCTAGATTCGACTTTCTCATGGAATGTAGCTTTAGCTATTGTGAAATATTGATTGAATAAAAAAAGAACAATTTCTTCCAACCATTTGCAAAATTCACAGGCCTCCTCGTGTCATGTTGGTTGTGTGATCATACATCGCCACACTGGTTCATACATCACCACACTGGTTAAAGTGCGTTGATGAAGAGGGGCCTAGGACCGATTTTAGTATCACTCACTACTGACGTTGGCTGTGGCCGAGAATCAAACTCCGGTCACCGGATTCACAGTACTGTGATTAACCACTGCACCATAGTTCCCCCCCCCTCCCCATAGCTATTAATTAAATCAAATTAATGACTGTACCCTTGTAATAACATTTCATCTATTCTCCATGGATAAAGCAATTATGACTCACAGTGTAATTTAAATTGAGGCTACTGAATTGAAATGACAAATATCCAAACGATGTCAGTTACTATACAGAATAATCAACCACGGCATGGCATATCCCAGGTCTGACACGCAGAGTAACAGAACGTGATGCATGCATGTGTAGAGGAGTACCGCGAGGGGCGAGCGCGGGAAAGTGTGAATTTGTGGAAAGGTCGTGCAAGGGCATGCATGATGCAACCTTGCGTAAGACTCTCTGTGAGTGGGGGCAATTGGGGAAGAACAGGTGTGGACGTGGGAATATGGGATTGGCGCCGTGGAGACAGGAGATGGGGGTGATGATAAGGATTAGCGAGGGCGAGGGGCGCCGGGCAGACGGCAGCCAAAGTGGGAGCACGTGGAGACTCAGAATGAGTAGGGATATATAAGCAGGAGTGTGCGTGAGCTCTGGGTCGTCGTCGTTGGGAGAGAGAGGAATGAGAGCCTGCATGGACGGCATCACCTCGTCGCCAGGCGGTGTTGGATGATCCCCTGCCCAGGGCAGACGAGTGGGTAGACATAGGGAAGCCGTACCGGGGCGTAGATAAATTAAGGGATGTCTGCGTAAAGGACAGAGTTCTGACGTGCGCCATAATGGGTGTAAGCGTCAAGTGCAGAGAGTGTAAAGTGAACAGAGTGTGTATGAGTAAATAAACGGCAAGCAGCCTTGAGTAAGAGTCCTTGTCTCTGGCTGGTTCTACAATCCTCCTTGGTGTCAAGAAGTCCTATTCAACACATGCGTGAGTGGGATGCAGGGACCCACCATCCCCAAATGGCTCCAATGCCCAGCTTCCCACCTCCCGGGCCGGCCCAGGACTGCTGGGCGATGCTGCACCCCCCCCCAAGCCCTGCCCCCAGCCCTGCCCTTCCGCCGGGCGCTCTCTGCCCCGTGACACCTGGGTGCAGTGCTCCAGGGAGCCCCGAAGAGTGACCACCTCCTGGTAGCCCTCCTCGCATACACAAACATCCCTCTGGACGGCATGCACAGGAACAGAAATCTGGAATTAGAGAACGAAGGAACATAGTGCAACGAAGGATTTGCACAGTTGTGCTGTATAGGTCTTCTAAGTATTTTCAGATTGTCCTGCATATTATTCTGGCATTTCTTGGAGATTTTTCAGGAAAGGAACTGGAGTGAAACATCAAACATTATGCCAGACATGTGGTACACCCCAAAAACACATCTAATAGCTAGAGGAACTTAGTCGTATTCCTGCAGTCCACACTATCTAGTGTCTATCTAGTGTCAGATGTGTGTCTGAGTAGCACCTACTTTTCAACCAATTATATTTTACATTAATAATGGTATGTTACATGAATGTTTAAATTATTATGTTTTGATAATATTGATAATTTGGCATCTGCCATGGATGTGATATTTTCACCACTGGGTCACAGCCATCAATAGAGATGAATACAGGGAAACACACTGACTTCTGAGTTGTAATAGCAGGTGCTTGTTGGTGGGTAACCATTGTTTAAGATTAATAACACACCCAAAATGTTGTTTAAAGAGAGCAAACCTGGTGTTTCTGACCACTGTGTCAATTCTCCCACCATGCCTTGCATATTGCATGACCTTCAACTCAAAAGTCAACATTTTGGATGTACCATATTCATTTTGATAACCACTCCTTTTTCTGTCTTTAAATTACTTTTTGTGTAATATTAGTCTTGTTTCCAGTCTGCCCTCTTCCTGTCATGAGTTACTCATAATTTATAAAATATTTTGGAATTGGTTTAATAATTTTGGTTGGCATGAGCAACCAATATGTGGCAGGAGAGGTTTGTAGAATACATGGCTGCCTTTGTCTCTTCATTGCTCAGTGTACCACATCAGGTGCTATGTTTAGCCTAAGGATATCTAGGGATTACATAAAACCGAATTCAGAAGATATTCATGGTCAGAAATCAATGGTGGGTGAAATGGACCATAGCACAGATTAGGTACATTACCACTCTAGTAGGGGGAGGTTAATATTTACCCACACTATTACGGAAAAAAACAACTAAGAAACATTTTAACTGCAAAAGGAGAACCACCATGTGAAATGCAATTAACTTTTCCATGTGAGCACTTTGAATAGCACAAGTTCACCTGTGATCGTATCTGAGCATTAAGTATGACTGGTATGCATATGTGAGCATGTGTGTGTGACTAAGTAGTATTTATTACCATTCTCAAGAGATGGACACGTGCATACATATGATACCAGTGCATTACAGTTCCTAATGAGGAAAATCGTTCTAGTAAGCAGATTATACTCTGGAGAACCCTTACAGCAAACAAGCTAAATTAGGTTTTTGCAGTTATGTACAGATTTATTTTTTAATTGCACACACATTAAATATAATGTAACCCATCTGCAAATTTAAATGTAAAAGCGTCAATGTGAAATGGTTCAAGTGAGCATGAGATTGTGTAGCATTGGGCTGTCTGGCAAAGTCGGATAGTCGGCTTAACAGTGACTGCTAAAACCCCTCGTAAAAGTGGAATAAGCCCATGCTAATTGCCAATGCCTTCATCAATATTTCACAGTGCATAAAGGTACATGTAATAATGCCTGTCATGATCCAACAATAATAGCTTTTGTTTGCAGGGATGTGTGTGTGCATTTGATTATAATAACCTGCATACAGATGGATGTCATGGAATACGTGGAAATGCATACATAACAATACAAATGTACAATTACGATTTTTTTTTATTAATTGAAAAAATCAATTTTGTTCTGTAGTGTAGCATTATGAGTAATAAAAGAACAGGAAATAAATCCACGTCTGTTCTTTATCGCCATAAAATTTACATATTTGATTGGGCTTCTAGACTTACATTAACCAGCAGCATTTTATTAAGTAGACTCCGCACAAATTTTCACCTTCTGGTGCTCATCAAATATTATTATTAAGATCTCCTCCCTCTAAAAGAGGGACCCAGTGAGCAGAATTTTTTTCTCACGTCGAGCTTTTTTAGAAGGATGATGATTGAGACTATTATTCAACTGTACCAGTTGAACTTTGTAGTTATTCTGCATAAATATTTATTGCATCGTGCAATGGCTTTGTTAAAGAAATCACAAAGTGTGTAAACATAAATCAAGTTGGGAGTGGTGAGTTCAAGAGTGATTGAGTGTGTTTGTATTGCAGTGACCATGTTGGCTACTCGCTAACCTCGGCACAATAAGAGTGTGGCAGGAGACAGGGTGGTGTGCAGGAGTGTACGGCTTTAGGTTCATTGGCGAGAGAACAGCCACCTGCAGACACATGGCCAAATGTTCTTTACAGAGCAGCAAATCCTTACAGAGCAGCAAAGTCTTAAATCGCAGAGAAAAATGTCCCTGAAAGCACACATTGCAGCCTGAGCGAGCGAGAGTTTGGAGATAAAACCTCAAAATGAGAAGGCTGATCTATGTTGCCTGTAAGGCAAGTGTATATAACCGATTTATCTTCCACACTCTTAAGTAAAGTCCATTGGTCATACCTTGCCTGAAATAATTTAAATACACATAGCAGAGGAACTTGGTTACTCAAAACATGACAATACCAAATATGCCGAAAATGAAATAACAGTGCATGTCATTATATATTGTAAGAGACATAATGTACAGCTTTTCACTGGCTTGCAATTATCATTAACATGTATTTACCCAAGCAAGCCACAGAAGTAGGGAAGATGTTGGTATGTGTTGTCGCAATTGACCAATTTTAAAAGTTTGCATAAATCGTACCATGATGCCGGCACACATGGGCTACTCGTTTTTGAATAACATCACGTTATTCAAAGCAGACGGTGCATATTTTATGGAGCAAACGACGCACATATATATATTTTTCATGATTACACTCGAAGCATTAACCAGGGCAGCCAAAGGGGCTCGAACCGAAAACCTCTGCAACAAGCGACAACACATACTAACTGCTCGGCCATGTCATGCCCCCGAATAAGGCAAGAGGGACAGCGTGCTGTGAGAAGATGGATTTGAGGGGATGGGGGCAAGGTAGAGATGGGAGTAGCACAATTTAAGGCCCAAACCTGTGACATTGACTCCATCCGACCGCTGACACCAGGAGTCCCGTCGGCCCCCTACCCAAGGCCCAACGTGCCACTCATAGCTGTAGCATTTCCCCCCTGTCACATGCGGCACGCCAATGCATAGTAATGTACAGCAAGCCACAGTATTTCACAAAGTATAATGCAGCAATTCACATTCTACAGACGAGGAATAAGAATCGAGCACAAAACTCGAGTACAGTAATAAATACAAGATGTTTCATTTAGTTCTTTTTGTTGTTTGGGAAGATGCACTAGCTATAGAAAATTTACAACTGGAATATGTGATGTGTGTATTCGAGTATGCTTCAGATATATTTTGTATCAAAGTGTGCTGTATAGAAAATCTTCAGGACATGTTGATGTGATGTGTGTCAATCCTTACATGGATGACTGCACATTTTGACTTGTGTGTGGAAGTGCAATGGTGTGTATCTGCACCAATGTAGAATATTTACTCACATATATATAACCGTGAATAAATGATGCACATTTATGCTTGGATATGCTTGTGCAATGGTATATGCATGTTTGTTTCTTTATACCAAATGTAGAATATTTATCCAATTTACATTGAAGTAAATATAAAATATAGCTCACTGGTTGTCATGTCACAGTAGATTGTATCCTTTTGTTTATTATACAGCACTGCAATAGGGAGACAAGCCATAGCAATGGGGTTGTGTGTTGGGTGAACAAGGACGTTGGTTGAATTATAACATCCTGGAGACATTTTTAACAATGCCAGTGCATACATGTTTGTATCAGCAGGGGCACGAAATTAATATTAGTATACATGGGAGATGTTGCATACAATTGTGCACTTGTAATAATCCATGTATACAAAGATATACCCACATGCGTGCATGCACACGACTGTGTGTTTATTATCAGGTGAAAGTTTAGAGATATAATTGTCTTTTACAAGGGATGTCTCCAGTAAATTATGAGAAAAAATATAACTGCATGATAACTCAGTAAAAGGTAAGGTGCAACCCAGAAATTGCTTTCTCAAGCCACTGCTGATGGAATGGTCTCTAAATAAAGATAAAGATCCCCCATATAGCTTTAACAGACTGTTGGGGCAAGTGTTGTTTCCGAGTAACTGGCACGGCTATTCGCTATGAAGACCGTCACGGCACACGAGGTGGTGGCAAGTACCACGCCCAGCCGCCTTTGTCTCCCAAGTGGCAACGCTTACACATCACAAGAGGTACTTATTTGAGGCTGAATTGACCTATGGGAGGCCCAGGATCGGTTCAGTTAATCGTCACCAGTGTGGGCCATGAATGTGAATTGAACTTGGGTCGTCGGGTTCATAGTGCAGCACGTTAACTGCTACACTACCGCTCTCCTTAGTCTCTACACTCATTACCCCACCACATGCGACCTGCCAAGTGATTAGATGTGTATCTATTTTTACTGTTGGGTGGACAGAAACGTGGGGGATTTAAGAAACTTGCACCATTGTTTCACCTGCCATGCCAGGAGATTTAACCAGACACTCTGGATTGTCCAATGTGCTAACCATTACACTACGGGAGCATTCTAATGTGTAATAATCCAGGACACTAACAACAACAGCGATATGTCAACAAAGCCAAATGGGTAATCGAAAAGGCAGCTTTTCCTTTTTTCGGTGAACATGTGTGTGTGTCTGTGTGTGTGGGACTGTGTGCGCTGCACAATCCCCACCAGAGCACTCGCGAGCCTCCCACTGCTGGAGAGGGCAGCTGCCGAGCATGCCGTGTTGTGGGAGTTCTACATGCTGGGAGCGGGCCTGCACCCCCGGCCCTCTCGGTCCAGCCACAGGAACACCGTGCCTGCAGCTTAACAACTGGCAGACGCCCCACGTGGACCATGTGCCCAGCCGGCAGTCACCTGCACGACAGACCGCTTAGGAGATTAAACCTCTTGAAGGTGCTCTGGATGGGGCGGGGAGAGGAAACCATACTGGACAGGATGTCAAACACAAAAACGTCAGATGAAATGGAAGCTATCTCTGTTGCAAGACGCAGTGATGGACACATTCAAGTGTAAATATCACTTTAAGGAGATATCAATGAAGGAAACGGTCTTGTCCCAATGGCGCAAAAGGCAAAATTATTTAACTACCTCGTCTGGCATACAGGAGGTCGTGGATTCGATCCAACCCTGATGCCTGTATATAGTATTTGGAGTCTGCATGTTCTCTCTGTGGTCCTGTGGATTTTTTTTCGAGTCGTCCGGTTTTTCCCCTCCACATTTAGAATTATGCGTTTAGAATATTTGGCTCCTATACATTCTCACACGATAAGCCACTTCATTGGGCGATAATATGTGGCTAGGTCGCTTCTGAAAAAGAGGTTCATAGCTCAGTGGGCCTTACTTAGTAAAATACGTTTTCTATGCAATGTCCAAGAGATCAAAATATCTCTTCTATTGGCAGTGAATTTTTACAAAAACTCAAGTACTCAACTAATAATATCAAGCTTTTATATTCACACTGAAGTGCTCTAATGATGCAAAATATTCACACTGTCTTGCTTATAAATCAACGTCAAGCAGATTTTCATGAAAGGCAAAGAAAGCATGTGTACCTGAATGGGAAATGAACACGGAAATAAAAATGAAGCTATTTAAATCATAAAATAAGTGAAATAACAAAATAAGCAAACATTATTGGTACGTAATACTGAAAGGAATCGGAATACAGTTCGACAACCACCTTGTTAAATGTACACACACACAAAGACAGGTCCCTCGTATAGCCTTAACAGATTGTTGGGGAAAGTTCTGTTTGCTAACACCTATGAAGACTGGCACGGCACACGAAGGGATGGGTGACCAGAACCACGCCCGGCCGCCTTTGTCTCCCTCGCGGCGATCTTTACACACTGCACCAGGAACTCACTTGAGGCTGAGTCGACCTAGGGTAGGCCTAGGACCGGTTCAGATAATTAATCGTCACTGGCAATGGCCGTGAGCAGGAATTGAACTTGGTTCGCCAGGTTCGTAGCGCAGCACACTAACTGCTGCAGCACACATATACCGCATACATGCACAATTAATTCATACTTAAGAAACACAAATATTTAAAACTGAAACTACACGTCCCCAATAAGTTAAAAATAGCATGCTGAATGTAAAAACATAAGTTAATTGTCAACGATGAAGCACTCAGTGTTGCAAGCACTGGGGCACACACAGGTGAGCTATTGGTGTAGTAGACATCGTGCTGTGTACCGTTGGACATCCTTTACACTGTGCAAGAATGTTGTATATATTAGGTCTAGAAAAAAAATGCAATTCTTTTAAAAATTTCCCAAAGTTTTCTAATTTAAATAATTATGCAAATCATGCATTTATGCTAATTAGGTTCTGCTTCGTTGTCTAGGGGTATTACCAATCGTGATAATACAATGAAGGTGTAATTGTATGAAATGATGCAAGTGTAGGTAAATATACTAATGAGGCTTGGCTTCGTTGTCAAGAGTGTATTACCAATCGTGATAAAACATTGATTTTCGCTTTAACTTTTACTGATTATGTTTTAGTGTTTTATGTCAGGTCTCAAAATTCAGATCTCACCACAGCAAACAGTTCTTATAATTAAGATTATGCATGAATTTAGGAAGGCATCACTCAGACTCTTCTGTGTTAAACAACTTTAATATCTAAAAACACTAACATGCGAATACTTATGCTCGGAATTGTCAACAAAATACTCCTCGATCCGTATAAAAATACCCTTAATGGTTATGTTTGTTAAACTGAGCATAAAATAATCGGCTAATCTCTCAGAGTCGAGCGAGCATACATGGCGATAGGAAAAGTTCCTTAAAAAAATGAATGTGACAATATTCATACGAAGTCATAAAGAAACATGTACCCGAGGTAAAAGTAGACCTCAATGACTTCTTCTTTGGTTCTTTCGGTAAAGTCACGTAGATGTGTATGCTTTAACTCTAACATAGCCATTTCTGTGACCAGTCACAAGCTAATCACTCGGCCATTTCAATGCTAAATTATATGCTAATTCCTTCGTCAAGGCGCTTTGTTTCTTCTGACACAGCTTAAAGGTCGTGATCTGAACGTGGCTTTTTTCACTCCAGCGCTGTCCTACCAGACAGTCTCGTCCCTTCACCTGATGAAGGCCGCTTGTGCTGTGGCCGAAACGTCGTGAGAATATTATTGTGTTATTTTATTTTATCAATTTATTATTTTATTCTCATTCTACGTGACTTTACCGAAAGAACCAAAGAAGATTAATCCTTGCAGTCACGAAAGCTTTAAATCGAAACTCAATGACTTCATTGTTAAGATTATGCAATTAACGACAACGAATGACTAAAATACTTCTAAACGACCGTATTCATGTAACTCAATGGGCAGCAATGCTTTTCATGATCAGCTAATATTTAACGCACCACCTTGGAATGTCAACCCTTTTCAAAACACGAAGATAACTTTTTGGAACAATCTTATTAGTCCCGATATGCATGTTATGTGTGTATGTGTCTTCTTTGCCGCTTGTTGAATTAGTGGCTTACGCGGTACAGCGTTCCTTGTACTGAAAATACCTCAGTTTTTCCAGCAGGGCCCCTGGGCCGGCAAGTGTGTGTATTGAACACACGGCACTCTTGCCTGCACCGACACTTTTCCTCTTGGCTGCACTGGTTCAGGCTCTTTCCACTGCTCCGTGCTCTTTACCCCGGCGTGCAGCTGCCTGCTTGGCGCAGGCACCCGGTGGTGCCTCTCCCGCCCCTTCCTTCAGGCTGCGCCAGCTCTCTCCGCGATGCTCGCTTGGTCGATGCTTGGCGCTTTCCACCCTTTCTCCAGGTTGATTGCTTGTCGTTGCTCGTCACTCTTTCTCTCTTGCTGCAGATGCTGGTGGGAGCTGGCACTCAATGTAGAACACAACTTTTAGCGAAACTTCGTCTGTCAGCGCCGAACTTACACTCGGCGACACACCGCTTCTCTGCAAGCCTCATCATCCAAGGTCGATTGCGGGGCCCACCCCCGGAGCTTGCCGCAGCAAGACTCAATTTGCGTTGATCCTTGTAGACTCGACCTTTGCTGGTGTGCAGCGCCGTTTTTCAACTTTCATTCTCTCCGCCCTGCTTCCAAGAGGGCTCCTGCTGTGAGCTGCTCGTCGCTGGCTGGATCACTCACTCTCAAAACTTGTAAATTGTATTAGCACACCTTTTAGCTTAGCATAATACAACTTATCGCAGTCCTCGACTCAGCAAGCGACTCAAAGCATAAGGGTAGATGTAGAATAAAACGTTCAGCGATACTCTGTCGGTCCATGCTGAACTTAGCTCTTAAGAATACATCGTCCCTTTTCTCTGCGAGACACGACACCCATGGTTGATCTCAAAGCCATGCCCCGGAGCCTGCCCCTCGCATGTTATGTGTTCTTGCTTAAAAATTCTCCCACCTCGGCTTGCCTTCTCATAAAGGACCGGAATTCCTTTGATTTCGTTCCCAGCCTGTGGGAACAGCTGTTTGTCTGGTGTACGTGTGTGTGTCTGTTCTAATTTATTGAAGTTAATCTGTTAAGTCGCATCAAGGAATGGTTCCTGTCCCCTTCCTCAATCCATCTTGCCATCCGTGGAAACAGATGCTTTCAATATCTCCGAATTGTGTTTTCCTAATTTTTCAACTTTCTGCAATAGTTAAACTGGAAGGAGGGGGGGGGGTTCCTTTTGTCTGGCTGCGTTCCTTCCCTCTTCCCTCACGGTTGGGAGTGTAAAATTGTATTGTTGTCTCTCACAAAGAGGGGCGCTGTGGCCTTTGAAGTCGTGTTCTCTCGTGCACCGGTTGGAAGTTAAAACATATTAATTTACCTCTTACAGCTTGGTATCGTGCCACTTTCCGCAGTTTTGACTCTGCAAGTGACTCAAAGTACGTTTTGAGTAGTATTTTGAGCAATGTTTACAGCGTGGTTTGGAATCTTCATGGTGTTTGATATCTCAAGGGCAGGCGCCCTCCCTGCATATGTAATTTATTGCTACCATGTGCTGCTGATTCTATGGAACACATATTTTATTGGTCGTGTGTGATTGACCTATTTCGCCTTGTATTTCTTCTGAAGGACCCTCGGTCTAATACTCATAATTATTATTTGGTTTATGTTTAACCAAGATTTGTGATCTACCATAGTTGTTACCACAGGTATTCCGAGGGTTATATTAACCTTTGTTCCCCGTCTGTATCGCCAGGGATCTGTGCTTCTTATTCTCGAGTTATATTTTGATATCCTGAGGTTGAAGATATAGCTAAGTTTTGACTTAAACTTTAGTGACTGCCGGAATTCATGTTTAGTTTATTTCGGTAAAGTCGCGTAGATATAATAATAAAGTTAATAATATTAATATTAAATCAGAATCAGAATCAGAAAGGGTTTTATTCGCCATGTAAGTTCACACCGACACGGAATTTAATAATATAAATTATAAATAATATAAGATAAATAATAAACCACTAATGTAGATTTTTGCCTGGTTCTTAATCTGAGTGAGTGTGCTGGCTGTCTATAATGTCGACTTAATCTTATAGCCAAGTTTCGAACTTTTATCGTTGTATTAAAAGAAACCAGAAAAAAAAACAGTTGTCTGTTCAATCGCCCTGCTGTTCTCGCCGTTCGGGAGATCCATGGCCCCTGCTGTTTGTGCATGTTTATGGCGGCCTTTGAAGTCGGGATTTCCCCAGAATTGCATTAGCCTCCCCCCCCCCCCCCCTTTACATCGGTTTTTTATATGATTTCCTCCCTCCAGCTTGATTTTATGTGGCGAGGCAGCTGGGGTGCGAGGGAAAGGGGTGTGCCTCAACTTTCGTGCGCCAAGCTACACACCGATCGATTATTACAACTTAAAAAATATTGGCAGAATTACTCT